TCTCTCTCTCTCTCTCTCTCTCTCTCTCTCTCTCTCTCTCTCTCTCTCTCTCTGTGTGTGTGTGTGTGTGTGTGTGTGTACACTGAAGGCCTTGGTTGATGTCAGAATCAGAAATCATCTTGGCTTGATCCTCTGCTTAATTCACTGAGGCATGGTCTCTCAACCAAACTTCGGGCTCATTCATATAGACGGTATCCCAAGCCCGCTCTATCTGTAGCTCCCCCGCTGTCTCTGCCTTCTGAGGCTGGAATTACAGAAGAGCTTCCATGCCTACCCAGCATTTACTTGGCTTCTGGGGAATCTGAGCTCCCCTCCTCATCCATGTAAAGCAAGCACTTTAACCACCGTGCCTTCTCCACAGCCCAGAATTTGGTCTCTTGATTTGATAGTTTGTCTATAATGAGAAGACACAACAAGTAATGGGGAAGGCAAGGGCAGCCAGCTTCACAGTGACACCATGGGAATCTGACTGGGGGACCTGGAGAAAAAAGTCCTGAGGAATGATACTTCCCTGGGGTTGAGACTCAGGAATCCAGGCCTCCCCCTAAGATACAAGATCTTTCTTTTTCTGTTTCTCTCTCTCTCTCTCTCTCTCTCTCTCTCTCTCTCTCTCTCTCTCTCTCTCTCTCACACACACACACACACACACACACACACACACAAACACACACACACACACACAATCAAAACTGCAATGCTGCACAGTGCTGAGTTCTTAAGTGAATTCCACCAGTCAAAACAAACAGAAGGCATCTTCCAAAACAAACAGCACGAAGCCCACCCCAACCCCGGGACCTCCTATTAGGAACTGTGCCAGGCTTCTCTTTCTGATAAACTGTAACACTGTGGCATGTGGATGCTCAGAAAAGGAGGAATGGTAGTAACCAGTCTTCACTGGTGTGTGGATATTATACATTCTGTAATTGAAGGTCTTGCTAGTCACCAGCCTTCCTTCACATGGGCATCCTGTCCCACATGGGCCTTCTCTCTCCCCTGCGGAATTGCAGTAGCTGCCTTTCCACTTCCTAGAACCCCCAGGTATTGTTCAAGGTCACACCAATAGCAACAGTGAGAGCCTCTGCTTCCAAAGCTGGTATCTCAGCCAGGCTTGCTATTGCCTTCCAGAGAGCACTGAAATTAGCGCTATGCCTTCTCACTCCCCATCAGCCTTTCCTTCCAACCTGCAGCTTCTCAGTTCCCACACAAGGATTTTCTGGTGTTATAAGCTGGGTGTGTGCCTCAGTCAACTTGAATCAAATTCTCGGAGCAATACTGAATCAGCAAATCATTGAAGAAAGGTTAAAACAAACAAACCAACCAACAAAGCCTTCTTTTTGTCTCTCACTCTCCTTTTTTCTGACTCCACACTTGAAGACCGGCCTCATCCTGCCACATCCAACATGCCTGAGGAGAACATAATACCCCACGTCTCAGAATCTGAAGCTCTGGATCTCCCCAAGCCTTCGTCCTGTTAGTAGACCCTTGGGGACACAGTGACTTGCAGATAGCGCCTAAGATACCAGAATTCATTTAGGGGGAGTGGCATGAAGAGGTTAAGCTAGGGAGATATTCCTAGTTCTTTTCGCTGGAAAGGCAATTGAACCATATTTACCATAAAACGACTGATCAGACCTGATGGTGGATAATTTCATCCCTGCCGTTTCCCACACCTAGCACTGGATGCTCTCCTTCCGAGTGTGGACTCCAGGCTACTGTACCCATTGGCCATAATTTAACTCACGGCTGTTTAGAGAGGATTTTTGGGGGGTCATATGGTCACTAAAATTGCCTTTCAGCATTTACAGGTAGGCAGCATTGCACTCAAAGTGCAATAATACCTTCCAGATCCAATGGCCTAGGTCTCCATCAGCGAGCAATACCACTGAGCAACTCAGCATTCTGCTTCTGGTCTGTGACTTCCTTGGTGATTGGTCTGCCCCACTGTTGACTTGAGTACTTGCTTCTTGCCGAATGAGGTGGCCAGACATTTTTATACTTGGCAGAACTTTGAAATTCAAACTTGACCATGAACCAGTCCAACAAGGCATGTCCTCTGCTGCCAGCTCCTATCCTGGTGTCCTCACAGAACCGGGAAAGAGTACACCTAAAAATGGTAACAGGATACGTGGTCCATGGAGGAAACATTCATGTCCTCCTGGAGCCCTTGTTCTCGGTACAGAGGAAACGGATGTGCCCAGCAGTACACGCCAGCTGGAGTGTAGCAAGCAATATGTGATGTGCTGGGATCTCCTGGTTCTCCTTTCTGTTCCTATCTGGTAGGATGTAGACTAAATCTGACCTTGGTCAGGGCATCAGCTAGTGCTTTTGAGAATTCTAGCCTGCCTTTGGCTTGTTTGTATGAAGCAGGATGATTAAGCAGGACCCGAGGCCCTAACTATGTCTTCCCAAAGGGGGACAAGCCAGCCAGTAGTAGGAAGCAAAGGTCTGAGGTCACAGAGCCCTGGGTTCACATCCCACATGCTCAATTGTGTGACTGTGAGCCTTAGCTTTCTTCTCTGTCCAAGGGGACCTTTCCTTTCCTGGCCATCATCTAAATGTCATCTTATATGAGGAGAGCTTGCCTTTCCTCTTCTTTCTCTTCTTCCCTTCCACTTCTTCAGTTTTCCTCCTTGTCTTTACAACCATAATTAGTGTGTGTGTGTGTGTGTGTAGTAATCTCTTCACCAAGGCTTGCCATTCCTCGCTTTGTGACTTGTTCATTTTTGTAAAATAAAAATTTTAAAGTAGCTGGGCAGTGGGGACACATACCTGTAATCCTAGCACTCGGGAGGCAGAAGCAGGTGGATCTCTGCGAGTTTGAAGCCAGCCTGGTCTACAGAGTGAGTTCCAGGACAGTCAAAGCTATACAGGGAAACCATGTCTCGAAAAACCAAACGGGGAAAAAAATTAAAGTGGAAAAAATAGCTGGGGAAATGACTCGGTGGGTAAGAAAACTTGCTGTGCAATTATGAAGATCTGAGTTCAAATCCCAGCACCCAAGTCAGAAGCAAAGCAGGGGGTCATGATAGAGACAGGCTGGAGCTTCCTAGCCCACCAGCCTAGACAGCAGAGTGAGCCGCTGATTCTGTGAGACCTGTCTCAAGGCAGAGAGTAGTGCCGACCGCTGGCTTCAGTACACATGCGCATGCCCCATACAAATACTAAATTAAAAAGCAGCTCTCCCCTCAGGGGTAGAACTCTCACTCTGTGTTTTCTGCCCCAGTAGAGAGTAGGGCTTCGGGAGGAACATGTCACATACCTAAGATGCTAGTGTCCCCGTGTCACACCTCTTCCCAGCCAACACTGGCCACTGTGAGGACAACAGAAAGCCAGATTGGCAAGAGCAGATGTGTTGATCTGACAACAAGATTTAGTGAGGACTTGTTCTGAGGAAGAATTATGGACATATGTTTATTTTAAAAAATTGAGAATAGCTGCAACTCTATTTTCCAAAGAAACAAAGTAGGGAATGGGGCCAGTGTGGTAACGGGGTCTCTGTTAGTCCCATTCTTTGGAAAGCAGTGTCTTTGGAAGCATTTCCATGCCTCCTCTACGGTGATAGTTTTTTTTTTTTTTCTGACCCATCATGGAGTCCACAGGAAACTGAGGCAGAGACTATGGGAGCGTCAAACTGTCTGTGCACCTGGGCAGAGATGCCTGATGGGTAAATGAATATGGAATTAAGTTCTGGAATCAGTAAACATTACCTAACTGAATGGCATGGGCTAAGTGCTTTGGGGATGTGTGCATCTGCAAAATGAGCATCACGATGTTGGAATCAGTCAGGACGTGGACCCAATGTTAGCGGAGCTGTCTGTCACTCACAGCCAATAATCCCAGTGCGGGTGTTCAGAATAACGTTCTACAACACTGGGCATGCGAAAGCACAGACAATAGCCACAGTGCACCCAGAGCACTGAACTATAACTCAGGTGATCTGCAAATACAAACTATAACTCAGGTGATCTGCAAACAAATTCCAGCTACATTTAATAATAAACCTACATAAAGCTCATGGCTACCATCTTAGAAGTACAGCTTCAGGAGACTGTTTCCTTTATGATGCCTGCTGAGCAGGCCTAGAGTGATTATGATCCTCGTCAAGATGGAGGTAGTGTTCCTAAAGCCAAGAGCTTCTGCTGACGGCAAGAGTCTGAAGAGGCAAGGAGCCTCCGTCTGACCCCTTGCAGAAAGCCAAGCTCTGTCATTGATCTAAACATCTAACCCTGCTTTAATCCCAGAACTCTGGAGGCAGAGACAGGCGGATCTCTGTGAGTTTGAGGCCAGCCTGGTCTGCAAAGCATGTTCCAGTCCATCCAGGGCTACACAAAGAAATCCTGTCTTGAAAAAAAAAAAAAATAACAACAACAACAACACAGAAACAAACTAAACAAAACAGAGCTCTCGCTGTGCGTTCGCGTCCTGTGCACATGCCGGGACTGAGCAGCCCAGAGAAGAAGTATAAGCCAGGTCACTCTGACTTCTTCACTGCTGTCCTTTCATGTCTGGCATAACCGACCCTGTGCCTAGGCCAGTGTCCCAGCACATACCAGTCTGGTGGTGGCCTGGAGCTAAGCGGAATTTAGCTCAGGGTAAAGATATGTTACAAATTAAATGTTGCTATCGGTGTGCAAAGCTGCAATAAATAGAAACCGAGTTGCATCAAGGATGGAATTAAGCCTTAAGTTTGAACTCCACGGAACTGTAATTAAATCTTTGCCTGTAGCAAGCCATTCAGGGGAGATTAAAGGAGCGTGGGGGAAGTAGGGGTTTGTTTGCCTTACCTTGCTCCCCACAATTTATAAGTCTGAGCTACCAAAAGCTAGAGACCCTGCCCCCTCACCCAGCTCCCAATTAAAAACACAGTTTGAAAACTTTTAGGAGGCCTGAGGGGCCCCTTTTACAGAAGGCTGCCCCTTCCCCCATGCCTCCGTCCATGAACAAATTAAAAAGTATTACCTGGTCCCCTGATGGTCCCCGAGCTGACACGGTGTTTTCATTAATACATCATTAGAGTAACGACATTGTGCTGGCATTTGGATTTCCAAATGGCCGGCACTGCCACCGCTACAAATAAAGGCCTGAGGGTCTCTGAACACTTCCTTCCCAGGAAATAGTCAGGTCTTCTAGAGGGAACACAGAAGACAAGCTTCATGGTTTTCTGTGGGTATCCATGTATCCCACACCTTGTCGTCTGAGGTCGTTTCTCTTAGTTTGTTTCATTGTCAGCTTCCTTAGTTTTGCAGCGTCAACCCTGGGGTTACTTTAACCATGACCTTCACTCCCAGAACCAGCAAGTATTCTAAATTCCCTAAATTCAACTGCCCTCCTCCCTCACAAAAGGGGGGAGAGTTCGTTTCTCCGAGTCTGGAAATACGTCATTTTGTGTAAAAGCCTGTCTGAGGCCTGAAGGTGAAATGTGTGTTCTGCTTTTCTAGACTGTGAACTGTTACCTCATAGACAATAATGGATTCATTCTGGTGTCTGAAGACTACACGCAGGTGAGTAAGGACGCCCTCCCCAGCTCCGTGAAAGTGGAGCAGATGGCTCTTGGGCTGGGATGGGGACAAACTCTGGAGTTACGATGGGAGATGATGGTCTATAAGTAAGAGGCAATAACAGGTCCTAAACCTCGTTTCTCTCTATCACAGTCTACTTTCTCAGGCACTATCAGAGTGTACTTTTACTACCTGGTGGGGAGCTGGTGGGGAGGCAGAGCCCAGCTCTGCTCCGGTATACCTAAATGCTAAACTTACTGAATTCTCTGCCTCAGAGTTGTCTGAGCTACAAAAGAAATTTTACCAGGGGGCTGGGGTGACAGCTCAGTGGGTAGAGCCCTTGCTTGAGTTCAAATGGCAAGAATCCATGTAAAGCTGGGTGCCACTGTGCGCATCTGAAGTCAAAGTGCTCCTTTGGTAAGATGGGTAGCAGAGACGGGAAAGTCCTGGAAGTTTAGACATGTGACCAACAAAGAATGACAGTTTGGACAAGGAAAAGGCAGTCATCAATACCCAAGGTTGTCCTCCGTTTTCAATACCTATGCTGTGGCACGTGCAAGCACCCATATTATGTATGGATAGATAGATGGATGGATAGATAGATAGATGATAGAGATAGAAATATATACTTAAAACATGTGCATGCATGTGTTTATGAACACATATTTATACAATACTCACACATGTGCATGTACATACACACATATAGAGGCTTTCACACACAATGTAGATTTTTAAGACAAATTTTTGCCTGAAGAGTAGAGGTGCTTTCAAGAGTTGAGACAGCTTTGAGGTGATGGTTTTCTTCCTTCTAATATTTAACCTTCATGCACACCCCCATATACATATGAACTTTCTTTAAAATTGTCTGAAACCCTTTCAGGAGTCAACTTATGTGATAGGTCCGTTTGTGCTCAATGAATTCGTTCATTGTTTTCCAACATGGCTCTGTAAGATCTGAGCGCTCTGTTCATTTAGAAACAGTAACTTCGGAAAATGGGGAACTGGATTCCCTTTCTTCCCTTCTCTCTAAGTGTTTAAATGTACGCTAGATTCCTAATGCTACAGTCTCAGTGGTGAGAATCAGGGGCCATTGGGCCATCAGTGGACGTGAGGAAGGAAAAATGAGCCTGTGAAACAAGGCCTGTGTCTGAGACAACTGGAAAGTCTGTCAGCCTACAGTAGTAACATGCCCATTTAACTCAGAGGAACATGGGGATAGCGACAAACCTGTGGGGCCAGAAAGCAGAGTCCTTGCTTGAGAGGAGTTCTGTCCTTGTTCCAAGCCACCCACACAGGACTGAGGTAAAACTTGGTTATGGACTCAGGAGGGATGGAATGCCTTCTTCCCACAGTAAACCCTGGCCTGGCCAGAAACCCTCTCGGAAAGCTATAGCTCCTGCAGGAAACCGGCCCTCCCTGGAAGAGGGAGGCCGCCAGCCTGTTCAGTTCGGGCTTGTTTGATGTTGTCTGGCTTCCTGCACCCAAATTAGGATAATTCTTCTCCATCTGACAGCCAGTCCCACCGACACTGGTGTATTTACACACATGAAATAAAATGCCCTTCTTGCTCGCAGTGGGGACACATGCCCACAGAACATGTGCGCATTTCCAAAGTCTCTTGAATGGAAAAGGAAGTGCTTGATATTCATTAAGAGAAATGTTTCCTTCCTCCTCCTTTCCTTCCTCAGTTATTTGTACTGAGTTTGGAAACACACACACACACACACACACACACACACACACACACCTCACGTCCTATAAACCCCAGAAAATCTGATGAAGGTCACTAAGCTAAATGCAAGGGAATTATGGTTTGGTTAACACCTTGTTCAAGGAACAAATATGATTTCCCTCTTACTGACATTGCCACCTCCCTCCCCTCAAAAGCTATATACCCAGAATAGAGATGGGGTTTCTCAACTGTCCTACGCTGGCTCATTCCAGGATGCTGGCAGAAGGAAGGCTGCAAGCCTTTGTGCTCTATAGGGTTTGTGCCCTCACCCATGGGACACCTCTCTTAGTGATTCCAGAAGGCTGGAGAGCATTCAGGGGGATATAAATCATTCCTTCTACCATGCAAAGTTGGTAAATCTCATCACAGTAAAAATTAGATATGCCAAAGCTTTAGGTTAGCAATGGCCTGAAGACAGCCCCGAGCATAGGGCTAGGCCTGAAGACAGCCCCCAGGCATAGGGCTAGGCCTTTAGAGGTACAGTTAGATGTACTGTCTCCCGGGAGCCAGGCAGTCTTATTCCTAGTAACTAGATTAACAACCTACAGGCAAAATGAGAACATTCTTCAGCAAATGATTTTGAGAAGGGATGGATTGTGAAAACTTTATAGGTCTTAGGAAGGGGCCCCTTCTATTTTCCTAAGCCGATCATCCTGGCATTATAAATCATTGTTTCTAGCACAGCTTAGGGAGCACTTCCAGGAACTCATTTTGTCTATATGCACTAGCATTTTAATCAGAAGAGATTATGTCCAGATTGTGTACACACGTGTGTTTTAATTTCTGCATTGAGCACCTGTTATGTAACATCCCCCATGTATTGTGGAGACTTGCCATCTGCTCCCTGGTTTTCTTACCACACAGATACTCAGACTGTTACAGCCATTCCCATTTATCTGCAACAGAAGTCCCAAAAACCTGCCTCTCATTTGTCAGTTCCTACACACGTGGAACTCATGCGCGCGCGCGCGCACACACACACACACACACACACACACACACACACACACACACACACACACACGTGTCAGTCTGCCTGCCTTTCTTCTCTGCTATATGGGTATGCGCTATCTCTTCCCTTCCTCACATGTCTCCTTGTCTTCCTGCAGACTGGAGACTTTTTTGGTGAGGTGGAAGGAGCTGTGATGAACAAGTTGTTAGCCATGGGCTCCTTTAAAAGGTAAGGACTGGGTGGTGTTCTCAGTTTACCGGAGTCAAACAAACAAAGGCCAGATAGAGTGGCGCAGGGTTGATCCTAGAGCCGACCCTGCTTGTGTTCACGGTTCAGAACTTTGCACTGAGATTTCACACTTTGCACGGGTGTGGTCTTTCAGTGGCAGCTCATCACAAGTGTTCCATCTACTCGGCATGGAGGTCATCGGAGGCCAGTACTGAAGCAGGAGTCAGCACAGCCGGTTGGTTCCATCACCAGTAAAGAGAGAAAAGCTTCTGCCTGAGCAGAAAGGCGGGGTGCATTTGTCTCACAAGCCAGGGTCACTCCCTAGAAGTTGAGGGTTCAGGAGTGGAGGGTAATATTTTCGAGACTTACTGATACAATCTTGGAAACTCAAGGAAAGTTATCTCCACCTTCTCCTGACTAAGGGCCATTGAAGTGCACTGGTGGAGACATGGATGTTGCTGAGTTTCATAGGGAATGAGTCCCATTAGTTAGACTGTCGCCCTGGGTAGAGGTTGGGAAGGGCAGCTTCCCCTTAGCCCCGTGAACCTCAAGGCTATACTAGCCACGTTTCTGGGGAGACCATGGCCTGTAAGGAATGCCTTGGATGGTGTCAGGAATTCTCCTAGGAGTTGTTCCTGGTTTTAGCCTACCAGACAGAACAAGGGCCTTTGAAGTTGAGCTTTCATGGATGTATTTGAGGCTCTTAGGTATGTAATAGCAGGAAGTGCCGGGATGCTGCTGCGGCTCTCCTGCGAGATCCACGGCTCCTTCTTGAGTTCTGTGGCTGAGTGGTAAGGAAGCACTAGATCAGGAAACCAAAGGTCAACAAGAGCAACTGAGCCCGCACTAGGAGCAGGGAATTAGAGGGTAAAGCAGCATTTGAAACTCTGTGGCTTACTTGTGCCAGAGAGGGCGTGGGAAGAATCTGCTATACAGAGTGGAGGAGGCCAGCATTTCTGCCCTCTCTGATGCGCACAGCTTGGGGCTTGACTGAAGGGGAGATGCGCTCATGTCTAACTCCAGCTCAGAGACTCAAGGATGTTTGTCTTCGGCAGGAGTCCTTCTCACCTGGGTCTGGCTTTGAGCTAGTTTGCACTTTTCTGTGACTTTTGCAAGTTTCCTAAAGCAGCTCCTGGATGGTCAGCCATTGAGGTCCAGCGTTTCCTGCCTGCCTTTCTATCACTGTGTACATTTATGTGTGTAAGGCCAACCTGTGTTTCAACTCTGGGGGGCAGGAGACACAAGATGAAGAATAATCACGCATGTGTTTCTCATTTAAAAGTATGTTTTTCAACTCCTTTAACAACTACCCCCCTCCTTTCTTGGATGCTTGTTTTAAATTGGTGGGAGAAAGAGAAAAGTTATAATGGAATTTGAAGGGTTTGGTCTTCTCCTTGATGTGGGCTAAACATGGTTGGCATGAGTCTGCAACTTGCTTTTATTGTCACACTAGCCTACATCTTTGAGAAAAAAGAAGGGCTACAAGCCTGGCTGAGTTAGGACAGCAACTGCCGCCCTCTAGATGCTGTGTGACATGCCCCATGTGCCTCTTCAGAGGACCCCTCCCCGGGGCCAGCTGAACAACGAGGAGACAGGTTTTGGAATCACACAGACTAAGGTCAAAGGCAGGTTCCAACATTTACTCGCTGTACAACTTAGGCTATGTCAACTCACTTCGCCAAGCTTGAGTTCTTGGTGTGGAACATGAAGATGATTAGTAATTCCTTCTAAGGGTGGACAGCGGAGGTGGTGAGATAAACACGAAGTTCTCAACCCAGGCCCAGTGTCTACTAAGGGCTCAGTAGCTGCTAGCTGCTGCTGGGATGACAGTCATTGACCTTGGCTCAGCCGTGGCTTTGCTGGCCCTGCTGCTCCCCTTTCTGGCACCTGCCAATGGCTCTCAAGCACTGTAGTCCTTGCAGTCAAATGCAGGGGCCATGCTCGTCCCTCACCCCTTCTTTTCTGAAGGAATAAGACTGACAGCTCTTCCATTCAGGGAAGCTGTGGATTTCCGAAACAGCAGAAGGGTGTAGCCTTCTGAGCCTCTGAGACAGAAACCCCCCTGCTAAGCCAAATCATGCCCACAGAGAGGCGCACGCGCTTTGGAGGCATGGTCTACGCTGGTAGGACCAAGGGCAGTGCACCCACCTCACTCTCTTTTCAGTACCTTGGATATTGTTGCCAGCACAGAGTCTCCTTTTGATTAGCCTCTATTATTTAAGGAGTACCATCCATGAGAGACAAGGTCATCTCCAGCAGGGAGCTGGAAGACAAACACCTTGCAGCCCTCCACATTGGGTTAGTTCCTGGTTGGACCTTGCAACTCTTCCATCTGGCCAGCAATGCAGACTAGAATTGTCTAGATTCAACTTCCAACAAATGAAACAGTACCTAGGAAAGTGAAGAAGACCTCCCAGGGTGTGTGTGAGTGGTGTTCCAGAGATGTTATTGAGGGGCTGATCGAGCTGGTGGATTCGTCCATTGATTGATTCCTAACAGGCACCATGATTAGCAACCGCTAACAAGTAGGAGGATGGAGCAAGTAGGTCACTGGGGACGTGTCTCTTGGAGTTGTGTCTTGCCCTGGCCCCTTTCTGTGTTCCTTTACTTTGCTTCCTGGCTCTTCTAGTGTCGGCTTCTCTACTGCACCATGCCTTCCCCACCATGATAGACTGAAGAACTTTCTGAAGCCATGAACCATCATCAATCCTTCGTCCATTAACTTTCTGTTCTCAGTATTTTCCACCACAATGCAAAAGTCTGATGATACACTTACCTGAAAGGTAGTGAACTTCGCTCTCACTGTCCGGCCTGCTCCCATGGTGGCCCAGTGGTAATTGTATATGGAATTGTGATCACAAGGAAATAGCACTCATGTTGAGGTCTATGATTTCTTAGCTCTTTGATTCCTGTGAACAATTAAACTGCTCACAAGATGTGTAATACAGTTCTGCAGCAGCCCATGAAACCCTTGAGGGGCAAAACTCCTTGCTATTGGCCACTTTAGCTGAGTCTTTGGCCTGAATCTGTCCCATCAGCTTCCCTATAGCCTAGGGGACAAGAACCAAGAACAGATGCATCAACAATATTGGGAAAAGGAAAGAAAAAGAAAATGACCATCTTTGCTTTTCCCACATACCTGCCACAGCTTTACTGGCTCAAAACACCATCTACATTCTCTCTCTCTCTCTCTCTCTCTCTCTCTCTCTCTCTCTCTTTCTCTCTCTCCTCCTTCCTTCCTTTCTTCCATCTACCTTTCTTCTTTCCATCCATTTATCCACCCACCCACCTAACTATCCACTCATCCACCCTCCCATCCATCCATCCATCCATCCATCCATCCATCCATCCACCCCACCCACCCACCCATCCTTTCTCCTTTCTTCTTGCCCTCGTTCCTCCCCTCTCCCTTTCTTCCTCTTCCCTCCCTTCTTCTCCTTCCCCTCTGTCATTTCACACTGTAGCTCAGGCTGGCCTTGAAGCCCCAGCCTTCAAAGTCCTGAGATTATCCATAAGTATCACTCTGTCCCACACAGAGCACTGCTCTTTAAACCTTACAACAACTTCATGAAACAGGACCAGTTCCCCAGTAGCAGGGCCAAGAGTGACCTAGAGATGTGGGACTTTTGTTCAGGCCTTTGTAGACCTTAGGCAGCAGTGACTTTAAACAAGTGTGAGTCTTCATAAGGGCAGGAATTTTGATGATCCAGTCTCCAGGCCCATGGGGCCAGTCTCAGGGATAAACATACCACAGACGTAGTCTACAGATGGAGATGATAAGGCAAGACTTCTCTGCCCTCTGCCCTTGACCTGTCTACAGTGGTGCTGTGCTATGTGCAAGTCTAGTGGTGTGTGGAGGGGAAGGAAGGTGTTGACTCAGCTGTATCTTATCTGGAGAGCAGAAGTTGCAGGCTGGGAGCTCAGGTGAAGGATGAGATAAATCAGTTGAGATTTTCAAATCCTTTGACCTACCATGCCCACAGGCTGCACTTCTTTTTTCTCATCTTTCACTCTATGCCAGGTCAGCTTTCTATGTTCCAGAGAACTTCAAATACTTCTTTGTTCTTATCGCTGATAATACAGGGGCTCCCTGACTGGTAACTCAGAGGATTTCTTGTGCTGGCTGTTTTCTTTTCCGCTCATGATCCTGTCTAGTCAAAAGCCATGACCTTGCATTTCTCAGAATGCATACTCTGTGTTTCTCTGTCATCAGCCATGACCTTATCCATTTTTTGCAACTACACTAGAATTCATGGCTCTCCTCCCATTTTCTACCTGTAGATATTCTAATCCAAATGATCAAATATTCATGAAGAAATAGATAATAGTCAAATGTAGGAGAAGGCTGAAGGGTCTTTGTTGTTTGTTTGTTTGTTCTTCCTTAGTGCTGACATTATAGGCAGGATGTACTGTAGCTAGAAGTTTCTCCATCCTGCTGGTCCCCCTGGACTTGTTTTTCTCAGCCTGCCTGTTCCAGAAGCCGCTCAAAGGAAATGTTCTATCATCTGTCTTAACATTGTGGGTCTAAAGTTCATATTTATCTTTTACTACAACCAAGGAAAACTATGTCTATAACTATCTGTCTTCAACTCCATCAAAGACCCAGAAGGATATAACATTACCTAAGTAAACAGGAAGTATATTGTAAGCAACTTCCAAAGTTCTAGAAGTAACAGGGACATCTTGCTGCCTGGACAGTCACCCAGAGTTCTTTTGTAATGTTGGGGCATCCATCTTCAGTCTACAGGCCCATAGTATCTGGCAGACTTTTTAGTGAAGCAGGAAATTTGAAGATCTATTCTGCCTTGTACTGGCAAAGTTCATCAGTTGCTTTCTTCTGTGTCCTGAAAAGAGTCTGGCAGTTTTTTCTGTGAAGCAGGAACCCTGAAGGACTGTCCTGTCTTTGGAAAATTTAGCAGTCACATTTCTATGGGTCTTGCATGTCCAGTTCATACAGCATACCACCAAGCAGTTCAGGTAAGAGCAGTTTCTTTCCCAAA